ACAAAAAAAGTTTCTACTAAGAACAAATGATGTTTGATAAGCTTTTATTAGGTTCAAAAGAGAAAATAGTTAATAAAATGTATAACTATCTGTTAGAAATTAAAATGCAAGAGGAAATGGTTAAAGAATGTATGATTAAGTGGGCACAAAACATAGGGCATAATATTGATATTGATCAATGGTTAAAAATATGGCAAAATAATATAAAGCTTACAAGATCGGTTAATTTTAAAGAGAATATATACAAGATGTTTTACAGGTGGCATATGACCCCAGAGAAATTGTCGAAGATGTACACAGACGTATCGAATATGTGTTGGAAATGTGAAGCACATGTGGGAAGCTATTATCATATGTGATGGTCATGTAGAGTAGCGAAACAGTATTGGAAAAGAGTACATGCTGTGTTGCAACAAATATTGCTTTGTAAGGTGCCATTAACCCCAGAACTGTTCTTATTGAGTATGATACCTGACAACATAGATAAGTCAAAGGAACATATAGTTATATATATTGTTACCACAGCAAAAATTCTTTATGCCAAAAATTGGAAAAGTCCGACGATACCGAAACAAGATCTTATAGAGAAGATACGGGAAATAGCGGAAATGGACATTTTATCAGAAGTAATGAAGGACTGTCCTTTACAAAAGGCAACAGAAAGATGAGACTTATTCTACAAGTGGACTGAATCAACAGACAACATATGAATAGCATACAGTATATTGAAATGAGAACTTAAACCTAGAAGACAGAAAAGAGTAAATAGAGTAACGTGGAATTTTGATATGGCAATAGGTATAGAATGGATGTTAGTATGTGATTGTTTCTCCTTTTCCCCATTAACCTCAACTCCTTTTTCTTTCTGTCACCCCTCTTGTTAAAAAATAAAAAAAATTAAAAAACCACTAAGTTTACCCTTTTGCTTAGCTTTCTAAGCCCTGCCCGTCCTGCTCCTTATTTAGCAAACCCTCTATTCACGACTTTAATAGTTTGCTTCTCCACATTTGTTTATGTGAATTTTTTTACGACAAAGTGCTGGGGGCTGGTATGCTACTCAACAGTTTATCTCTCCTGTACTGTATATTTATGTGGCTATGGAGGCTGAGGTTGGGAGTTTGATTCTCCTCTATGACTTCTGCACAACCTGTGTGACCTCACGGAAGCTGTACCGTCCCAGGATGACCATAAGATGAGGAGGATGTTAAACCACTTCTGAGTATTCTCTATCTGGAGAACCCTGAAAAGGGTCACCATAACTTGGAGCAGACTTGATGGTACATGACTATTATTATGATGCAGCTAGTATTTATATCTAACCTTCGTTACTGAATTGATTTCCCCATTTTATCAAAGCACAACGTGAAATATTTTAGGTGTGTTCATCGGAGCCATCATCACAGGTGCTACAAACTGGCAACTCGGCGAATTTCTTCTTGAACGAAAACTCTTACCTCTATCACTTACCAAAGCACTTCTGCGATTTTACAGGAAAATAATGCTGCTCAAAAACACCAAACTATCAAGATCGTAGCATCTTCCTACCCTAATTGGTTATCCTCTTAGTTGAGGCGGGGCATTATTTTAAACTCAGCGTATCTGAATGGCACCGAAAGGCTACACAGGATTTTATTCGAGGTTCTCGCAGAGCGGGAAGTTCGGAGTGAGCATGCGCAGTCCATCTTATTTAAGCAATACCTGTACTGTATTTGGAGCCATTTGCGGCTCGGGATAAGTTTAAACTCTCTCTCGTCTCCCTGGCCGTCTTTCCTATGAGCAGCAAAGAGTTAGAGCTTTGAAACGGAATCTTCCTGCTTCTGTTTTGGTGCTATGGTTTTTGTTTTGGTCTCCCGGAAACAAACCGAGACGTGCCCATATAAAACAGTTGAGAATTCCCAGCAAAAGGAGTTCCAACCAGAAACGAACGATGGACGGCGTATTCTACTCTTTGTTAACCATGTGTTTCATATTTAAAAAAACCCGTAAATATATATTTTTAAATATCTAGATGGCAGGTGGGTACTTCAGTTCATCGAAGGCGTTCCTTGTTTAATAGGGCAGTTAAAAGGAGGGACTTTGCATAGCTTGGGATTCCCAGCCAAACAAATATCCCCTGTGTGTGCTTGACTCCTAACGTTAACATGCTTGACATCGTTTCCAGGTCGAAACTAAGGCTCACCTGTAAGCAGAAATGTCGCGGCCCGTTAATTTGTTTGAAGCTGTGTTGTGCTTTTAACGTTAACAGGTTGTGGGAAGCAGAACACAGTGACTTACGCGAGTCTCTACCGGTTTCGGCCTTTCATTCCCTTCTCTCACACCGCAAGGCCGACCGACTCGCCGGCGCGGTCGAGGACTGGGAGGCGCCTCGTGCTGCTTTTGAGTCCCTGTTGGCTGCTTGAGCTGTCGGTCTCTAGAAGCGGCCGCAGGGGCGGGAGCAACAGCGGGATCTTTTCAGTTAGTTTCGTAATTGGACAGCAAGTTTAGCGGAGGGGCCTCGAGGGAGCCCATTGGCTGGAAGTTTTTGACCTCAGGTGGTTGTGCGACGGTTGAAGATTGAGCGCGAGGGAGAGCTTCCGTGTTGAGCTCCTAAGAATGGAAAGTGTGGAGGGTGAAGCTGGCGGGAGTTGTTGCCTTCAGCCTGAGGTGAGTTTCTTTCCGCTGCCCGTGCTCGAGGTTGTATGGACATCTGACTGTATGGACGGGGAGGGGAGCCTCCTGTCCGCTTCCATCTGCCCGTTTGGAGGGGCCCTGAGGGATGCGCGCAGTGAGGCTCGCTCTTTCCACCTGGCGGGCACTTCCAGAGGCGTACATGTCCACAGTATGCCTTCTGCCGGTACAGCAGGCTGAATCGGAGATCTGTCGCTCTCTCTAGTCTGGTAGGGTTTTCTAGCAGTAAATAAAATATTATCGTTTCGTTTGTACTTTATCGTCAAGAACTGCTTGATCCTCGTTCTCTCTGATGATTGAAGGGTTTTCACCAATCACACACACACACACACACACACACACACACACACACATTTACTTTGCAAGGCTTGTCTTGCACTGATTTGAAAATCAAGAGGTGTTTCGTTCTTTTTATTCATACGTATTACTAAAAAAAAATTATTTGCCTATAGCAATTGGAGCGTATTTAGCCCTCCAGATGTTTTGGAATCCTAACCCAGAAGTTGAGTTCCAAAACCAGCATAGGCAGTGACGAGGGACTATGGAAGTTGTAGTCCAAAATTACTGGCAGATTAATATATAATCTTCCACAGCTGGATATGATTATATTGTAACATGACAAAGTGAGCTACATTAACTGCAGGTTGAGAAAATACATATTGTGATACTTTAGTATTCACTTTGGAAAAATTAAGAGGGGGAGGCAAAATACTGTGCTGCTTTAAAGAGTAACATTCATTTCGCTGTGAACGGATGGATCAAAACCAACTTCTTCAAACATAAGGAGTGCAAGACTAGTCTTCTAATATGAAATGTTCCCACATTGATTGGAGTCACTGCCAGACAAGGATGGAAGCAAACAATAGACAAAGTGATAATGCATTGTTAATTCAAATGGCTATCAAGATATTAATTGCTAGAGGTTGCAGTCCATAGACAGGTTGATTAGCTGTATCTCCCTCTTAACTCTTCCTTTGCAGTTTCTTCTGCAACAGCCGTTATGAGATCAATAACACAAGTGTCCTGGAAATGTTCTGAAACTGATTGTGTTGCTATCCGTGGTGTCAAATTTATATTGACATATTGTGCCTTTAGAAATTTGTTGTTGTTTAGTCATTAAGTTGTGTCAGAGTCTTCCTGACCCCATGGACCAGAGCACGCCAGGCCCTCCTGTCTTCCACTTCCTCCCGGCGTTTGGTCAAATTCATGTTGGTTGCTTCGATGACACTGTCCAACCATCTCATCCTCTGTCGTCCCCTTCTCCTCTTGCCTTCACACTTTCCTAACATCAGGGTCTTTCCCAAGGAGTCTTCTCATGAGATGGCCAAAATATTGGAGCCTCAGCTTCAGGATCTGTCCTTCCAGTGAGCACTCAGGGTTGATTTCCTTTAGAATGGATAGGTTTGTTCTCCTTGCAGTCCAGGGGACTCTCAAGAGCCTCCTCCAGCACCACAATTCAAAAGCATCAATTCTTCGGCGGTCAGCCTTCTTTATGGTCCAGCTCTCACTTCCATTCTTGCCATCTCCTGTTTGACCACCTCCAGCTTCCCAAGGTACATAGATCTTACATTCCAGGTTCTTATGCAGTAGTTTTTTTCGCAGCATCAAACTTTCCTTTCACTTCCAGGCACGTCCACAGCTGAGCGTCCTTTCCATGATTGAACAGGGATTTGAACCTAGGCCTCCTGAGTCCTAGTCCATCACTATCCACTACACCAGGGGTCAGGGAACTTTTTAAACTTTTACCCCCTAAAAAATTTATATACGGCAACATTATCCCCTTCATTTGAAAGAAAGGATCTCGGTCATGCGCGGCCAGTTGAGCGCCGCTGCCTCACCCTCGCCGCCTGAGCTGCCTCCACCTCTTCTGCTGCCTGGCAGGGCCGTGCTCAGTCCTTGGCCCTGCGGGGGTGGCTCCCTTTCTCCGCCAGTGGGCAGCTGTCGAAGAGCACAGGTGGCTCGGTGGCCGGGGGGTGTCCGATGCCACCTCCCGCTCTGGCACTGGCGGCTGCTTGTCGGAGTGGCCGCGTCAGGCCTTGGCGTCGAAGCGCTGTGACAGCTGCCACATGGAGGGCGAGAGGCTCTGCCAGGCCTAACTGGCCGGCGTGGAGGCGCCGCCAAAGGAAGCTGTGTGGCTGGGCGAGTACTGCTGCCGCCCGACTGGCTCCTCTTGGAACTGGGACAGGGCGTGGGGTGGTGTCCCGGCGCCAGGAGGCTGAGCCTGGCCTGGGCCGCCGTCATAGCCACACCCGCCCCCCTCCGCCATGATCCACCTCTCCAGGCACTGGAAGGGGAGGATCCTCCTGGCTGGGGCACTCCAGCTACTCGCCCTCTGCCATGTCCGGCGGCCATCTGCTGTGGCTCAGTTGCAGCCAGGTCGGAGAAGGGGGTGATTAGGCAGCCGGGAAACCCCCCCCCGGGCAGAAGAGGAGGAGGAGGGAAGGGAGTTAGGGTCACGTCCTCATTACCCCCAGGATTTTCATTTTTATCCCATTTGGGGTAATTTACCCGTTCCCTGACCACTGCACTACACCACATCCAATTTTTTTTTTGGAATTTTTGGAGGAATCTGGCAATTGGACTCCAACAAAACAAATGAATAGAACATCCCTGTCCAGCACTCAGCTGCAGGTGTTTAGGCAACAAGGGAAATAGTCATGCATTTGACCTGAATCTCTTCCCAAGAAGACTGATCCTGAGGAAATAGTTTCTCTTGAGCACTTCTTCCCTGCAGTGGAGCATTTTGCCTTGGGACTTCAAGCTTGGCACTTGGCTTCAGCCTTCTCCATTACCGTGGACTGGAAGCCCCCGCCCCCCAGGCCCCAGTCATCCACAGTTAGGGCTCCTGGCTTCCTGCGGGTCTGGGTAGTTCTTTTGTTCTGGTTGCTTCTGGATGATCTGGTTCATCCTCACTGCAGAACCCCTTAAACAAGGGCATGACACAAATAAATTACCGTATTTTTTGCTCTATAAGACGGACTTTTTCCTCCAAAAAAAGTGGGGGGAAAGTGTGTGCGTCTTACGGAGTGAATATTGTAAAAGAGGGGTCAATTTAAATTCTAACTGTAGGTAGCATAAGAGGCTGTTCTTGGTAGCTCTTTCGCCCCAACAGTTAGGAAAAAGCTGGGGGCAAAGGCCAGGAAAGCTCCCGGAGGTATACCTGGGTGTGTGTGGCGATATCAGCCTGCCAGGCCCGTGGGGTGGTGGTGAAAGAGGGCTGGGAAGGGAAGGGAAGGTGGCGGTTTTGAACCTTCCCAGCCGTCCTCCACCCCCCAGGGCGTAGCAGGCCAAAACAGCGACCTTACTTTCCCATCCATCTTCCAACCCCTGAGGCCCAGGAGGCTGAAACCGCCACGTTCCCTTCCTAGACCCATCCCAGCAATCTTCCACACCCCCGGGGGCTAGCAGGCCGAAACCGCCGTCTTCTCTTCCTTTCCCAGACCCTTCCCAGCCGTCTGCCCCCCTCCCGGGGCCTAGCAGGCTGAAAACGCCACCTTCCCTACCCAGTTGTCTTCCTCTCTCCAGGGCCTAGCGGGTCAAAACCACCACCTTCCATTCCCTTCACAGACCTTCCCATCCCTCTTCCACCATCCCCAGGGCCTAGAAGGCTGAAACCTCCACCTTCCCTACCCAGTTGTCTTCCTCCTTCCAGGGCCTAGCAGGCTCAAACCGCCCCCCTTCCTTTCCCAGACCTTCCCAGCCATCTTCCACTCCCCCTGGTGCCTAGCAGGCTGAAACCAGCACCTTGCCTTCCCTTCCTAGACCCTTCCCAGCCATTTTCCACCCCTTCTTGGGCCTACAAGGTTGAATCCGCCACCTTCCTATCCCTTCCCAGACCTTCCCAAATGTCTTCCAATCCCCCTGGGGCCTAGCAGGCTGAAACCACCACCTTCCCTTCCCAGCTGTCTTCCACCAATTCCAGGGGCCTAGCAGGCTGAACCCCTTCACGGATTGCTGCCTCCCCTTCACGGATTGCTGCCTTGTCTTGGCGAAGGGGCTTGAGTAATTCAAGCAAGCTATGGGCTATGCCATGCAGGGCCACTCAAGACGGACAGGTCATAGTGGAGAGTTCTGGCTAAACGCAATCCACCTGGAGTAGGAACTGGCAGTGCCACTCCAGTATCTGCCAAGAAAACCCCATGAACAGAAACAAAAGGCTAAAACATATGATGCTGGAAGATGGGAACCTCAGGTTGGAAGGCGTCCAACATGTTACTGAAGAAGAACAGAGGACAAGTACAAGTAGCTCCAGAGCTAATGAAGTGGTTGGGCCAAAGTCGAAAGGACGCTCAGATGTGGATGCGCCTGGAAGTGAAAGTCCGATGCTGCAAAGAAATATACTGAATAGGCACCTGGAATGTAAGATCTACGAATCTTGGGAAGCTGGATGTGGTCAAACAGGAGGTGACAAGAATAAACATCGATATCCTGGGCATCAGTGAACAAAAATGGGCAGGAATGGGTGAATTCAGCTCAGATGATTATCATATCTACTATTGTGGGCAAGAATCCCGTAGAAGGAATGGAGTGGCCCTCATAGTCAACAAAAGAGTGGGAAAAGGTGTACTGGGATACAATCTCAAAAATGATAGAATGATGTCAATACGAATCCAAGGCAGACCTTTCAACATCACAATAATCCAAGTTTATGCACCAACCACCAATACTGAGGAGACTGAAATTGACCAGTTCTATGAAGACTTACAACACCTTCTAGAACTAACACCAAAGAAAGATGTTCTTCTCATTCTAGGGGATTGGAATGCTTAGGTAGGGAGTCAAGAGATAAAAGGAACAACAGGGAAGTTTGACCTTGGAGTTCAAAACGAAGCAGGGCAAAGACTAATAGAGTTTTGTCAAGAGAACAAGCTGGTCATCACAAACACTCTTTTCCAACAACACAAGAGGCGACTTTATAAATGGAAATCACCAGATGGGCAATATCGAAATCAGATTGATTATATTCTCTGCAGCCA